CTTGTCGCCTACTTGAGGACGTGGTTGCATGTTCACTTGTCCTATCTGTAATCGTATGGAGATGGTGTTGTGGTGAGTTAAATGCCAAATTCGTGGTTATGTTCGCCCGGTTATCAGACTATGAAGTGAGTGTTTCAAGATTGTTCTCTTCCATAGAGTGCATGCGATGGCATCGCAACGAAAGCCAACTGCTTTTGGAGCACTTTAATTCACAACAAACTGGGCGTTGTGGTTATGATGGCTCTTCTCTTACATCAGTCCTTGCTACAGTTCCTTTGGGCTTGAGATCATGTTGATGGAGTGGTGAGATCTAAGTTGATGTGTGATTCATTGTCTAGCAGTAATAGGTAATGTATACACCAGGCAAATCACCGCAAGATAATATTTGGTGAATCTTATAACCATGCTGACATTCTTATCCTTATTTTAAATTCCAGCTCATTCTTTAGTTAGTTTAACTGTGCGTGTCGCATTCGTGTGGGTTGTAGTGGACAGCATCTCTCGATGTGTGCCTTTAATTATGCTGATGATGATGCTGAACATGGTTTCCTTTTTTTCCACTCAAATTTACCATAAAGCTCGCCAACTATCCTGCTTTCATTGTGATCAAACCAGTGAAGTGTAAATCTAACTTTACGCCTCCTCAAGATATACTTGTGTTTTCAAAGAAGCCACTCTCCTTTATTTGTGCCTATATTCGACTTGTGAATCTATAAAATATTCGTCAACCCCTCAATGCCAAAGTAACTTCATTTTGTTTGAGCGCTGAGAAGAGCATTGTTTGTTTGTTTTTACTGTACACAATGAGCCAGCCATCTAGATCCGACATCACATGAAACGAACCAATTTTAATGTTAGCTTGTCACTCTAGGATGATTCACCTTTACCGCTTCTACACAAATTTAAGCAATTTTGCCTAAAAGCACGTAGAAATCACAACAAATTAAACATTGTGAGTTTGATGTCTTTCCTCTTACAACCGCCATTGTTGTAGTTGGTTGACAATTTTGTTCATGTTGGTGGAGAGGGCGATTGAAGATGATGTGCGATTTATTGCTAGGCGATGGTTGGTGAACTGTGCGCATCTCCATCGGGAGAAGCAGGAACAATGAATATTGGCACAAGAAGGTCTTTAGAAAACCCTATAACTCTATTGTATTTTGCATCCTTGTTTTGGGTTTCTGCTTAATCTATGGTTGATATTGCTAATATGAGTGCCATTTTCATGGATTTTGGTGGAGAGTGCCTATTGATGTATACCTTTGCCTTTGACATTTTTTAACATAAATTAGACCTCTTACGACCCTTCGTATTTAATTAGCTCTTATAGTTTATGTAAAATGAGGAAAATTGAGCAGCGTGTCCTTGCTCTTCATTCTCATATCTACAGTGATGATATTTTGCATTTCATTTCATTTTGAAAAAGGTTGATCCTGTAGTACTTCCACTGCAAATTGCAAGTAAAAGTAATGTATCCATGTAAAATATGATATAGCAATTGCTTTAAGAAAGCTCTCAGCTAAAATCACGCCCGTAATTTGGAAAATTATTAACCTTTACTACTACTGATACTAATTTGAGTAAGCAAAATTTGGAGCATTTAACAATCACAAGTAAATAAACCACTGCAATTATGCTATTGAATAAAATCCAACATCGACTTCTAATCCGTCATATTTTTACGAAACAAACCATTTTGCATGATATCTATAGACTGGACATTAGGACGAGACGTCGAAAGAATGATTGTGAGGAAGGTGCAGGCAAGCATTGACAATGCATTCGTGACACAGTTAAATGATGCAGATTAGACTTTCTCGTGGTCTCTAGAATAATGCGTTTTGGGTCCCATCTTCATCACGTAAACTACCACTGCTACCAGTCATTCTTTGACCTACTTCATTTCCGCATTCTTTTTTGGTCTATTACTTACAACTCTACTGGAGAAAATATAATTAAAAGTGAAATAAGGAACATTTGTAAAGATAGATTAGGAATGCTTTATTTGCCACAAAATCAAATTCTATCATTGAAGTATTCCCTACAAGTGGAGTAAATAGATAATGCTCTCCTCTACATACGGGCAAAATAATGATGCTCTAAATTTGGGGGGTTTATGAACATTTATTCAACAGAGGGAAAATATTAGAAGTGGATTCTTCGAGTGACAAAAACTTATCACAATATGCTTGGAATAAAAATGATCAAATAAGGCGCCTGAATGCCGGTGGACAGCAATATTGGTAAGGGAATAGTTTCCGCTCACCTAGAAGACAACCATTTTATCAGTGAGTCTTAAGCTACTGGCGAGACATGTTATTGAAATATCTATCAGAAGTTAAACAACTAATTCGTTGACGACGATTTGGGTAGATTGAGTTGGGCTATTGCTTTAAGGGACTTATAGGGTCAACGTGCAATGGTTGTGCTCTGTGGCGCCAAATGTTACATCAGCTTTCAAGGCTAATCGGTGTGTCAATAGGAGGGTGGCTGAACACCGAAGAGGAGACTAAGTGACTTTAGATGATTGCCATTTGGGAACCCCTGACCATGAGTTTCGCCCATTTGGTTCATCATTTCAACATGGGTTAAAAGAATCCTCATTCTTAATGTGCTGTAGACTTCACAGAACAGACATGTCAGATGTGGTCGCCAGTGTTGTCGTAAGTGTACTACTTTTACAGTCTCATCTAGGGTGTAGTCTCAAATTCACGACTTTAAAAGTACTATCTCAATTTGCAAGTGAATACGCTCTTCTAAAGTCTACCTGCATAGCAGAAGAAGGATTCACCACACACTAAATTGCAAAGAGAAGACAAACTTTGGGCAGTTTTTGCGCCATGTGGTTCACAACTGCAACCCTGCGCCCTGCTTCTAATCAGAAATGAATTCCCTGTGTCACTGCGCTGGCAGAGGAGCTAGGTCCTGTAACCAGCATCTCGCAGGGACCGAGGGCCACCAGCTAAAAACGCTCCCAAACATATGAGGGCCAGTAACCAGCAGGAGACCGATCCCGATCATAAGAAGAAGATTTCCACCTCAAATTTGGTCCAATTTTAAACATAAACACACTAAATTTACTTGAGTGGCTAATAGAGTTATTTCTAAATATTACGTCCAAAGCTTGACTATGAACACCAATCAGTACTTTTTACTAACTAGCAGGGATTTCTTGTTCAAAATCAAATCTTGCGGATATTAGAGAAGAAATTGGCACAACATTGATTACTTTAAGATTTGTCTGTACGTTAGGGTTCCTACTTCCCCTGGAAATAAATGACAAAGTCAGGGCCATTAGTGGATCAAATAAGCTAAACGTGCTAGGCATGATATTTTTAAAAGTGGTGGTTGAGCATGGGGTCATGGTGTGTCGTTATTATACGCAAGTACGTAAAAAAACTTAATAGTCTCAGCTGCCTTAGCCTTCACAAGCCTTCAATGCCTACATGGACAATTGAGCCAGTTGGAATGGAAAGAAGAGCATAATACATCAATCAAGGCTTAAGTGGCTTCTGCACCACAAATATCAACTTCAAAATCTTTAAAGGACTCCGTTTCACTTCGATAGCACCTTTAACGTGTATGTCCACAAGAGCTCTTAGGAAGGATATGGATGTTAAAATTTTTATCCTTCACAGATCATCAGGAATCACAGGATGGAAGTCATTAGCTCCAAAATGCCTGCAAGCAATACCTTCTGCTTTATTTGTCAGACAGATTTGCAGAAACGGCATCCCTGATACTGCGCACTGTGACCAGATCATGGTGTCAATCTTCAGAGTCAACTTTCTACTGGACTATCCGAATCTTTCAAAATCTCGAAGCCAAACGCAACGGATGGTGTAACGCATGAAAACTAACAGGCAGAAAGAATGGGTTTCACCCTGATTGGACTTGTTAGGGCATTCAGCTATGGATCTCCAAGATTGGGATAGATTGTTGGTCCGGTGACTTCCAGCAGACGGGGTTACGTTTCCCGCATTCATAGCCATTGCGCTGTTCAGAGTCCCCACCGATCTCAAAATGAAGGTACTTTTTGATGTTTATCCACCAAATACGGAAGTATCGGATCTTAACTTATGTAATGTATACTTCATCTAAAAGCGTTTATGAGGCAGTTTTTTAAACTTTTGTATAAACAAGTCTGGTAGGGAAATTAACAAAGGCCGACAGCTACTAGTGGCTTCCAGAACTACTTTTAGTTTGAGGTAATTACCAATGGTGCGTGCCACAGGAATTTTGATGTTAATTTTAGATTTAAGAAGTTGTTTTTTTTACTCAGGGTAAAAGCCAATCCTTGGCTATCCCCAAACCCAGCGCGTTTTTGTTTTAATTCTGCGGATTACATATCCCATGCAATTAACTTATGACACTGGGAGAAGTTAATCAGCGTAAAGTACAAGAAAGTGGCTATTTATTTATCTTTTTCTTTTACTTTTGTCATACATTTCTGACTGAGGACTTCTCAGGTGTATTTTTCTTAATGCGATATTTGAGAGCTTAAGATGATTACCAAGACCTCGACTTTTCAAGCTGATGGACTGCTGCCGACTATTTTAACAATGATTTTGCGTTTCTCTCTCGGACATTTGTTCAGCTTCCATGGCGACTTTTACAGATCAGCTTTTGTACATTGGCATCAAGACAACTGCCATGAGATAACAATTGCATGTGCAGATGAGTGTTGAGTATCCCATTAGTGTCGTACCAATGTGCTCGGAGAGGGAGGAGTGTTCCAGGCTGCATTGTCACACGGAGGAATAGCAGCCCGTCGCCTTGGATTCGCCGACATGTTGGTGAGTCAAGGTACGTCACCGCTAAGCACACATCAAAAATTTGGATGACAACATACCAGATTTTGTCATTTGCATACCTTTTTTTTTCACAAAAGAGTGAAAGTGGTTTGATTCTTAATGCATGCGGTGGCGGGAGACGCCTCGAAGTGGCAGCAATTCATCGCGTTCGTATGCATGTGTGGATGTGAAATGGCACTTATATATGCATATATGTATGTGCAAATATATTTTTGCATTAATGAAATTAAGCATATGTAAATTTAAGCATGAATGCAATTTTGGATTACTAAAATTGATTACGCTTTGTGTCTCCTCAATTGTAACTTATTCTGGTAAACTGGTCCCCGGGTCATGCCAGTATCCCATTCCCTTCCGTATGTCAAGTATAAATAAATTTTGCTTAGGCCTTATACCTTTTTTCTTTCTTCAGGGAAGTCGTGGGACGCTACAGTGGTGGTAACAGAAGGCAAACCACATTTAATAGGATACCTCTCTGACTTTCTTACTGCTGTGCAATAAAGCCTAGCAGGACAAAAGAAGTTCATATGCTACGGATGGAAGACTCGGAGACGACTCATAACAGAAGGGTTGACAATGATGCTAGCCCTCCGTAACTGCCACAGTTTTCCACCCTGTAGGAAGGTCAATAACAGTAAGAATTGCTCTAGCCGTAAATTTATCTGAAAGTGTTTTGCCACAGAGCTGCTCTCTGCACCCGTGTAAAGATATCAAATATGTAAAACCATGAAACCTCCTCCATGTCTCTACTAGCTAAAAGGAACCCAGAGAGATATAGCTAGGCGACTTTAAAGTGAGAACAATGTGGCACTACATTCAATCCCGTCCTCCTTTGCATGACTTTGATTTTAGGCCAGTGTTCTCACGGCTAGGTATGGGCACAAGTAATTGCCAGTACATTCCCCTTCCCTAGATCCATTTTTTATACAAGAGGAAACCCCAGATCCAGTGGAATCTCCAATAGGAATTAGTGATGTTGCGGTCAAATATCTTTTAAGTTGAATGTAAATTCGATGACTGGCACGGTCGGCCCGTGAAGTTTTCCTTTCAGCACTGTTTGCGTTGTGATGGCTGACTCGGGAGGTTGATCATGGCTCTCAATACGTTGGATATTTGACTCTCGGTTTCAGCGCATGGACCGCTTTGTGTCTTCGCCGTTTTACATCCATGGAGTGGGCTGGCCTCCAGGCTAGGCCAATAGTCCAATCCATTTTGGATATCCCAAATATGTAAATTGCCCTATCATCATATTTTGGCTCGACTTCAGGAAAGCCTTGTGGAACTACATATATGCGTGGTTTGATGTAATTCTATATGATGAATAGTAATAAATAAATATGTTTATATGTAAGTGTATGTGGGTTCATTTCTTGTTTGATTGCTGTGCAAAATTAGAGGCTTCAGTTAGGTCGCATATTTACCCCAAACTTTCCTCGAGGTGGTTTAAAATACACATTTTGACCATATGCAATGCTAAAATTATGAAATGTTTACTTATCACATCTTACAATTGAATCACAAGTGACATCAACGAAGGAAGGTCCATTTATTGGTCACAAGCATCACTAAACGAGATTAGCAGACAGTTTTAAATGGGCTGTCAACAA